AGACTAAAAAGAAGTATTCTTGATATTATGAAGAAGAGAAGTAGATGCCATACTTGATTGAATTTTCTTTAGAAAAATTAAATCAACAATATTGATTTCATTGCTCGAAGATGAAGTTATTTTGGCTTCAATAAAATTATTTTTTATTAATTAAAAACTGCATCTCCTTCTTTAGGTACAAGATAAGAATATCTAAAAAAATCATTGGACAAACCTTTTGTTTTTTTGGCCAATAAGTGATATTGAATTCAACTCTTAACAAAGATATATTTTAACGAGCTTTGCAATGATTCAAAATACATGCTGATATCAAATATTCAAAGTTCTTATGATTTATATATACATTGATTGGATTCAAAGTGCTTTTTAAATAATAATTCCATTCTTGAAAAGAATCCATGACTACAAGAAGTTCTTTGTTGTGGATTTCATAGTTAATTTTGGCTGCTGAAAATTTCCTGAAATGAAAAGCTACTCGATGAAGTTTTTTATTTATTTCTATTTGTGACAATATGGCATCTAAAGCAAAGTTTGATGTGTCTATTTCCATAAAGAATATCTTGGAAAAGCCAATGTGATAGAAGATTGGAGTAAAAACAAAGGTTGTCTTTAAAACTTCAAATGCTACTTTTGCTTCTTCATTCCACTAAAGTTCATCTTTATAAGTTAAATGTGTAAATAGATCTCCAACTCGAGAGAAGTTCTTAATAAAGATCCAATAGTAGTTGGCAAATTCTAAAAAACATTAGACGTCTCATATTATTTTTGAGATCTTCCAATCTACAATAATTTGAACTTTCTTAAGATCTATTATAAGTCTATTATTTGAAATGATGTAACCTAAGAAGTCAACTTAAGTACTGTGGAATACACACTTTTTTATCTTGGCATAGAACCTTGCACCTCTTAATTTTTATAACACATGTCAAATATGAAATTTATGTTCTTTTATTTTCTTGGAATAGAATAAGATATTATCTAGATAATAGATAACAAAATTATCCAAAAACTCTCAAAAAACATTATTCATAAGATGTTAAAAAGCTACTGGTGCATTTATAAGTTGTAAAGGCATGACATTATATTTGAAATATTTGTACTTGGTTCAAAATGTACTCTTCTATTCATTTCTTTTTTTCATGCATACCAAATTTTATGTTCTTCGTAGGTTTATTTTTGTATAGATCTTACTTTGATTCAACTGATCAAAAAGTCTAGATATTAAAGGTAATAGATACTTGTTCTTAATGGTGATCTTGTTGAATCCTCAATAATCAATACACATCTATAATGTTCTATCTTTTTTTTTTTTTACAAATAGAATTGGAGCTCTTACTAGAGATTTAGAATAGCGTATGAAGTTCTTAGCAAGATTTTTTTCAATATACTCCTTGACTTCAACTAACTCATTTTATGATAAATATTAGATTGGTCCAAATAATGATTGTATTCTTTCTTGAAGAACAATTAAGCAGTCATAAGAATGATGTTCTAGAAGAATATATATATATATTTTTTTTTATCAAATACATCTTAAAATTCTTGATACTGGCTTGAAATGTCACTTAAAGTCTTTGCACCATTAGAAATGGGTGTAGCATAAATGATACAAGGTGATCTTTCTTTTGTAGCATACAAGAAATCTCTTGTACTTACAAATAGAGATTTAATGTTATTAAACTTGTAATTTTTTACTTGATTAATTACGCTCTTGATTATATTTTTAGAAAAGCCAAGAATACAAGAAATCCAATCTACACAAGGATTGTATTTTTTTAACTACAATATGCCTAAAATGATTTGATTAGAGGAAGATTTAATGATACTAAATACCACAAAGCTATTATGACCATTGATTATTATTTCTATAGGAAGGATTTTGTGAGTAATATCTCTAGAAGACAATGGATGACCATCTATGACTTCTGCATGAATAGGTTTAGTTTTCTTCACTAAAAATATACTAAGTCTTTAATCAAAATTTTCATTTAAGAAACATGTTGAAGCTCCTCAATCTAACAAGGCAAAGGCTTTGTAATGTTTAGGTCTTAAAATAATATTCAATGTAAAAAAAAAAAAAGGATTTTGAAGAGAAAATAGGACCTTCATTAGATATTGTAGAAGGTTCAAGCTACATAGTTCTTATTGTAGTTGGACAAACTTATTTTTTGATATATTATCTTCTTTGATATTTGTACTCCTCATTTTATAATTGCATTGTTTCTTTGAACAATGTTGAGCAATGTGCTTAGATTTTTTACAATAAAAGTACAAACCTTCTTGATGGCGGCGAGTCTTTTCTTCCTCAATAAGAAGTTTGAAATGTATCACATCAATTTACATATCCTCTACTTCCAAATGTATGTGTTGAGAAGGCATTAATATTGCCAATGAATCATAATAATGTTGAAGCTCACTTGTCTAATTCTCAAATGAAAATTCAAAAAGTCAATCGTCACACTTCACAACAAAGTCAATTGCTTGACTCAATATTTGAAGATTACATAAGTTGAGTATTAATTTTTTTACATCATATTGTAATCCATAGAGAAATTGACTAATAAGTGCAGTATTATCCCACTTGATATCAGTTGCAAGTTATTGAAATTGTGAAGTATATAATGTTTTGGATTTACTACCTTATCGCAAAATATGGATCTTATTGGTTACAACAAAAATTGCATCATATTTTCCATACAAGGATCAAAAGTCCACCAAGAAAGCTTCCAAAATATCTAGTATTGGATCTCGTCGTTCAAAAAAAGATAAAAAAACATGATAATGCTGAACCTAAAAGAAGTGTACTAATGAATCTAACTTGTGATCCTAGAGTTGGATAGCTTTGGGATTGAAGTTCAATTACAAGTTGTACTTGATTGATAAATCTTTGAAATTTGGATCTTATACAATCAAACTTCTCATGCAAAGCAATTCTTGGTTTTCTAGTATCGGAAGGATGTTCTACCATAGGAGAAGGATTGAAGTAGATGTTGAAGCAACTCCAATCATATCTATATCTTCACTTCCTACCATTCTTATTATTCTTTGTGGTGGTAAACTAAGTTGATGTATTGCAAGCATTAATTCTTTCAATTACTCTTATATTTAAGCTATTGCACTCTTCATTTCAATAAGCTCTGCCATGATAATACTTAGAAAAAAAAATATCTAATTTTGTTTAAGTCTTGTAGAAGAGAAGATTGGACATTAAAGGAGATACTAAGAACAATATAAGTTTAAAAGAAGGTAATCTGCAACTTCTAATATACTTATGTCTTATCAAAAGAAAGAGATAATCTACTCTTAATCAAGAAAAGATAAGGCTCTAATATTGTGAATGTACTCTTGTGAATTTGTCAAGGACATGAACTAGAAGAAGATGCATAAACCTAAGAAATCTGTTATAAAAGAAAAGTGACAAAATAGAAATAAAGTAGTATATATATTAAAAGAAAACTAGAATGACTATTGCTAAAAAGACAAGGAAACTAAAGACTCTCGAATCTAGACTAGAAGCAAGAAAGGAGTTGACAAGAGTGAAGAGGGCTTCACTCTTGCCTCTATATATACTATCTAACTAGGAGCTACAAGGTGATGTTCTATACGACTTCTAATATGTGTTGACTTTGCAAGACACTTGCCTTAGCTTATAAGGCAAGTTTTCTATGTATTCGCCACATAGTTAGCTTATTCTTCAAGCTACCAACATGTATAGTACATGGCTAATTTATTGACCATGTTTCTAACCTAAAAAGTCAATTACAAATACCTACAAAGTCAAAGCAGCATTTATAAAGCTTCTAAAAAGCTTTTATAGAATATATTATGGAATTAACTTACTTTTATTTATTTTATCTAATCATAGAGATAATTATTGGTTCACATGTGTATATCCGTGACACCTTTTACTTAGTCTCAATTCCATTGATTAAGTTTAAAATTGGTTCCATAAATCTCCTACATTTTTAATAATAATTTCTACAAAAAATGGTGTTTGTCTTATTCCATTTATAGTTGGTTCTTTACAAGACTTTATACTCAAAGCTACTCATATTTAAAAAGTATATAAAATAAATTATTTTTTAAAGTTTGAAGAAATTATCAACAACAAATTACATAATTAATGTTATTTTTTTTCTTTTAGATGTTAATAAAGATTTATTAATAAATTAAAAAAATTAAGATGTATTTTTTTATAAATAATTTATATTTTTATTGTTATTTATTAATTTATTTTTTATTTTTAATAAAATCTAATATAATTAAAGAAAAAATTAAATTATTTTTAATTTGATCCATTTCTTTTATCAAACATTTAAAACTTTTGATCTATAAAACATTTTTAAAATTTTGACATTACTATCTTAATTCCATGCACTATTTTTATATATTTCTATCATGTTCACAATCTCAAAATACACATAAAATCGACATATTATTTCACTTTTTAAAAATAACAAATTGGCTTTTATTTTTATTTTTATAAAGATATGATTACACATAATTCTACACAAACATATCTAATATAATACCAAAAATTTAAATTAATTTTTATGTATTAACTTTATCAAGATTACAAACAAAACAAAATTGGAACTACTTGGCACACAAACAAAACTTAGAGCTACGGACATATAAACCAATGCTCAACTAGCACTAATCTTTTCATTCTTATCTTAAAAATTAAAAAAATATTAAAAAGCCAACTATTATATTCACTGGTTAAAGAATCACTAAACATAACTATCCTGATGAAACACAAACATCAAAGCACCCAATAGCAATCTGCAACGTGCTCCACAATTCCTTTCCAAAAACAAATAGAATCACATAAAACAAAACAAAATAATACTGAACGTCAGCTGGAATCAAACAGGCATCAGCAGCATCGTCACCATAAATCGTCGGCAATCTGTCTACCGCGACGAAATTCACGTCGTCGGTGCAAAAGAAATCGGAAGAAGTAGAAGAAGAAGCAGAAGAAGACGAAGACGAAGCAATTTCTGTCACAATTTCAAGGAAAGAAATCGCTGTTTCTCAGACAGTCTCTAACCACATCGTTCCACAGTGATTGGGAAAAGTGAGTAGATTAGCACCGGAATTGTGCACATCGTTGCCAAGCACGTGGGTGGGCTAAGGCTTCGCAGAGCTCGTCACTGTAGTCATCTGAGACGCGAGAGCTTGGACGCAACAGAATCGATGCGAGGGCGTGACTTGCTTCCACACTGCAGGCGAAGATTACTTGTCCATGTACTGAATCGTCGCTTCACCTCTGGCTCGACATTCGTGAGTGATTAGTTGGAGCCCACAATTCCAAGTAGGCTTCGTGATTGTGGAGTTCATTGAGTGACATGAGAAAGTTGTAGCGTTGCACTCCAATTTTGGCGGCGATTTGCAATTGTGGGTTCATAGTGGTGGTGGTGGTTGGGTGATTGCTTGATTCACGGCAAGGAGTTTTCTGCATCGAGTTGGGGGTTCTTTGCCGCCATGGCTGTTCCTTGCCACCTTCTTCGGCTCACTCCGGTTTTGCTGTCCCTGATTTTGTAAATATTGCTTCGGAGTTGCGAGAATAGAGGTTTTAGTACTGGGCCGAAGGAGTTTGGAGGAGTCCTTAGTCATGGGGCAGACTTTCCGGAAGCTCTTCGATTCCATTTTCGGCAACAAGGAGATGCGGGTGCGCCCATCTCCGCTACTTTTCTACCCAATTGTGTCTGTGCAGTTTTTCTTTCTCGTTTCACCAACTTTGGTAGAGGTTTTGCGGATCCAGTGGAAGTTCTTCCATTCCTGAGCATCCGTGGCGTGAACTTTTGGTTTGTTGGTTGGTTGGTTTTCTTTTTGTTTCCTCTGAAATGTAACGCGTGTGCATTCAGATCATTTCGAGGCGGAGTCTGTGTTGTGATGAGCATTTCGGAATTGGTTCATGGTCATGATTCAAGTTGAATGCGATCCAATTGAAACTAAGTGAAATGGGATTTCCTGATAGTTGTTTAAAATTCTTATGTTTTTAAAAATGTTAATTGTTATTATTCTTTTTCTTTTCTGTCTTTATTTCGTGGCGCTGGGTTTCTTTTACATCTGCAAGATGGCGCACAACTGTTACTTCTGTGTGGGGTTTTACTTGTTTCTGTACTCCTCCTGGAATTGGATTTGAATTGTGCTAGTTATGTTGAATTATGTTCGATCAACCCTAAATCCTCACACTCATGAAAGGAACCGCACCTGCAAGTATGTGATTACACATCCTGCAATCGAGGTCGTCACGATTAGATGTAGGTAGATTGGTATCTAGCTATGTGTAAATTGCGAACGTGTTTATGCAATCGGTATACAATGGATAGTCACTCGACTGTGAACGTTGCAAAACACTGTCAATTTTGGGAATCCTCATCTAAATTTGGTGCGTATAGTGCGTTGTTCTACACGAGGGCTGATCATCTGGTTATTAAGCTAATGAAATCCTTAGGCACCTCACTTGCTTGTTCGTGGATTCCGTGGGTACGTGCACGCCTCGTCTTCCTCCCAATGGTCGGAAGTGGGAAATGGTAATTCTAACCCGGAATTCGTGAACAGTCTAAAGTCCGAGTTTGGGACATTTGTGAAATGCTATGAACTGATCATGACGTTAAGTGCAGGGCGAGTTGTGTGAAGTTGCTACTCATTTACCTCTAGAATGTGATTGTTTTGATAAGCGGATCAATATTTCCGTATAATGTGCTCTTGAATCTTGCCTACTTGTAAAACCTATGCTTTTGCTGCTACTGGTCTATCTCACTATTGGTTGACGTTCATCTACATTTGAATCGATGTTTTTTAGATAGAATTCCATACAGGAAGCACATTCCTGTGATTTACCGAGATTTCTTACGATTCTTGTATCTGCCAGGTTGTGATGCTTGGTTTAGATGCAGCAGGCAAAACCACCATCCTCTATAAGCTTCACATTGGAGAGATTCTGTCCACCGTTCCCACCATTGGTAAAGTGACACATGACACTTGCCGCAGGTCTTGATGATTCTCAAATGGAGTGTCTCGTCGTTCCTAGTTGAAGGTAGTTGTGTTATCTATTGATGAACTTTTGCACCTTAATATTGTGCTGAGCGTTGATGAGTCGGCTGGTTATATTGGCATTTGTTCACTTCCTGTGTTCCCGCATCTCTCAGGATTTAATGTGGAAAAAGTTCAATACAAGAATGTCGAGTTCACAGTATGGGATGTTGGAGGTCAGGAGAAATTGCGGCCCCTTTGGCGGCATTACTTCAATAATACTGACGGTTTGGTAAGTATTCTTTATAGGTTGCTGTTTCAGTAGACCTTTTTTTCTTTTTTTCATACAACTTTTTATGATATATATATATATATATATATATATATATATATACCGAGAGAGTGAAGAATCCGGGAACTGAATGCATTTTTCATCTGTTAGTGGGCGACAATTATGTTAAACTAAACCGGTGAGTGTTGGTAAATATTTTTTTATTATATTCGGCTTTTTGAACTGGTTCTGGAAAGTTGGAACGAAGTAATTTGAGACTGCCTGTTATTCATATGTATTATTGGTTGATGCTACTTGTGTCTCAACTCCAACTAGTTTTACATCATCTGCAGAACCGACAGAGTTGCAAATGCCAAGCACTTGGAGACTCTTGGAGCCCCAGTCTTTCACTGTTAGCGTTTTCATGAAGTGGTAGGAGGTTTGCAGTGACTCTATGCATTTGTTAAAGCCTTACTGATGGGCGTGAGTTATTTCATCTCCTACAGATTTATGTGGTTGACTCATGTGATAGAGAACGAATCTCCAAGGCGGCAGCTGAGTTTCAGGTACCTCCTTAATTCTGGTTACCTTGTGGGTAGGAAATGCTTTGGGCTTCTGGTTGTAATTTTCTAGAAAGTTGAATTTAGGAAGTCTCACTTAGCTTCTTGTTCCTGAACCTCCTGTTTGTATTCGGTTTATGTTAGAATGTACGCTGATGTATTCTCTTCCTTATTCCTCTCAATTACATGTAAAAGTTTGTTTAAACGCCTATAACTTAGGTATGATAGTTTTGTGTTAGACCGTTCATTTCGTGTAAAATTTTATTATGTTGCTTTTTTCAATCTATGACACAGAATGTCATCAATGATCCGCTAATGAGGAATAGCGCCATCCTTGTGTTTGCAAACAAACAGGACATGGTAAGCGCGTTTACTTCCTGCAGTTACCACACCAGCAAATATTAACAACAGAACTGGGCTGAGGATTCTTTTTGTCAGTTTTTTGTTTCACTTACTTGACTATTTATTTAGTTCTAATGTTTGCGTTTAATTCTCTACAAATTTCAGACATCCATTTTAACAAATTTCTTTTAAAGCTTTTCACCGCAACTATTATGTAACCTCTTGGCTTGATTTCTGGTGTATGGTGGAGCTAGAAAGGGGCTTTGAGTACTGCAGAGGTGTGCGAACAGCTAGGGCTCTTCAATCTCCGGAATCGACGATGGCAAATCCAAGGCACGTGTGCTCCTAAAGGTGAAGGCTTGTATGAGGGCCTGGACTGGTTGGCCACCACTTTGAAACAAATGCAAGCATCTGGGATTTCCACCTCTGTAAAGGCTGCCTGAAGTCTTATGTAGCTTGCCAACATATCCTTGAGGGAGAGAAGAAATTCTAATACCTTGATTTTGTGTGCTGTTGTAATTAGTGGTTTGTGGGAGATTTCTTGGTCTCCATTTACGTGTAAGAAAGATTACATATGTTAAATATGAAACACCGTTAGGCTTAGATTACCTGCCACAGATAAAAAGCTTGTGGAAATTTGTGTGACTTCTGCCTATTTTTGTAGTCTTGACACTGCATACCTCCTCTGTGCCTAGTTCTCCGGATTGGGCATTCATTGCAGCTGTTCATCCTTATCATGTGAAATTTATACCCCGTCTTTTTCAATATCCTGCATGGCCACGGTACCGAGTTTTCATTTATTCGTATTAATGTTTACTACACAGCGCATTATACCAATTTTGCATTCATTGCTTAAGTGAAGATTTGTTTGTTGTAACATTGGATATCTACGGTCCATTTCTGCCCACCACGTGATTGAGCTTAGTTGTTGTGGTATGCTCAGAATAGTGAGAAGATGAATATGAAGATCAAACGTTGGGACTTTTATGGGTCAGATCTCACCACCCTGAGCCATCCCATCAGCAATGTCACTGGCTTCTTCAGTCAATTTCAGCTTTGACAGCAGTGCTCAACAGGATAGACCAGGCTCACAGTGCATTTTCTTCCATTCACAAGAGACACTGATGCCTATGGTGGGTTCTTCAGTGCTTATTAACAACAAGTTCCAATCAACTTGGACATCCTCCATGTTGTGTAATCTTTGAGAAGGTTTTTTGATTGCAATTGTTTCAGACATTCACCAAAACTGTATTGCAACGCTGCAGTGATGATACCTAGCATTTGTACAATGTCATTCTAGCTTTTGATTTCAAGTTTTCATGCCTTAGTGAATATTTGTTCACACTGTATTGAATGAAGGTTAATTTTGAGGAATGCTAAATAGACCCAAGCTTTTACTAAATTGACCCACCCATCCTAACCATCGTAAAATGGAAAATAAAAATAAAAAATAAAATCTCTAGATTCATTTCTCAACTATTGGATCAAAAACCAATGAAAACCAACCACATTCATCATGACTATCATCTTCTCCACCATGAATAGGTAAATTTAGTAAAAATGTAAGTCTATTTAACATTCTCTTTGATTTATTGACAAAAATTAAGTCTATAATTTTTTTAAAGATTGATTGTTTTTCTTGTAATAATGTTTCAAAAGAAGAATTTATTTTAAAACAAAAGCATTTGAATCCAAATCCAACAAATGTTTAAGAGAAAATGAAATGACATATACATGGTGCTAAATTTTAGCTCCATTACCCTACAAAGACATCATAACTTTAAGATATCTTATTATCAATATCAAGAGTTTGTTTCTTAGTTAATAAATATGTATGAACATTGTCTAAGACATCATAACTTTAAGATATCTTATTATCAATATCAAGAGTTTGTTTCTTAGTTAATAAACATGCATGAACATTGTCTAAGTAAATCTTACAAATGCATGTAAATTTTTCCAAAAGAACATACAATTGTGCAAAACAATCTTTTTACTTCATCCATTTGTCATACATGTGTCTTTACAAACATGGATGTTGGATAGTCGTCTCAAATTTTGTAAACATTTCATTATTGGGTAACCAATTGTTGGGAGTCTCTAAAATATTGATAAGAGGAGTGCATGGTATAGGATTTGGGGTTCTAAAACAATTAACACAAAATCAATTATGAATAACTGGACACAATTACAAATTTATTAAAACATTTGAATGCACCAAGACAATCAAAGTATCTGCTCATCCATTACCAAGGACAAGCTTGGTACCTACACTTTGATTGGGGCAAAAAGAGAACCCAAAGTAGGCACGACAGTTACAGCATGGAAACCCCCTCAGCACTCCTCTGAATATACGCCTGCCACGTCGGACAAAAGCAGCCGTGGATGCAGAGATTCAGAAGCAAGGGTGGGGATGAAGGGTGAAGGGGAAAGGGGTGGGGAAGATAGGCCGGGCGAGTTGGCTCACCCGTCTCGCATCTCCCGCGCCCCCCTTATCCTCCTCCTCCCCCTCTGTCTTCCTTCACTCTCTTATCTTCTACATAACCATTGTTGCTACACTCACTCCTGTGATCTATCACAGGATTTAGGGTTTCTCTTCCGTCTTCTCTTACTATTCCTGCTTTGTTACTTCGAGTTCGAATCAATGGCGACCGCAAGGATGAGCGTGGCTGTGGCCAGCGCGCGGCTCGCCGTTGTTTCGGCTCGGTCTGAGACGAGTTCGAGTCGGAATGGGTCTGTCGTGAGCTTGGGAGAGAACAGGACCCGTGCTTCCATTTCGTGCTCTTTCTCTGGATTCTCTGCGGTTAGGAGGAATGTCGTCATTGTTAATTCTTACGCTGAGGGTGGCTCGGCCGATGTTGCGACTGATGTTGCTGACGCTCCCGCTGCTGTTGAGGAGGCTGCGACTCCGGCACCTCAGGTTGGAACCAAGCTCTACATTGGGAACTTGCCTTGGCAATGTGATAGCGCGCAGCTTGCAGGTATCTGCCAGGAGTTCGGAAGTGTTGAACTCGTCGAAGTTATCTATGACCAAGAGTCAGGAAGGAGTCGGGGTTTCGCGTTTGTGACCATGGCTACCCAGGAGGATGCTGAAAATGTCATTGAAAGGCTCGACGGGCATGATGTCGGGGGAAGGCCCTTGAAGGTCAGCTTTCCTCAGTCGAAGCAGAACAGGCCTAGCTTCCCGAGAGGTGAGGGTTACCAAAGGTCTGAGAGAGCTCCCAGGCCCGCAGCCCGTGATGACCCCAACAAGGTCTTCGTTGGAAATCTTTCCTGGGGTGTCGACAACGGTGCCCTTCAGGAGCTCTTTTCAGACTACGGAAAGGTCGTAGACGCTAGGGTTGTATATGATAGGGAATCAGGAAGATCACGTGGGTTTGGATTTGTGACGTATAGTGATGTTTCTGAGGTGGACGCGGCCATTGACAGCCTCGACGGTGCTGAATTCGACGGAAGAGAACTGAGAGTGAACCTGGCCGGAAACAAGCCCGCATCAAAGGATTATTGAGCGTAGCTTCTCATAGTATCTGTAGCCGTTTATGCCACTTTCGTTCCTCTGTATCATTTCATTAACGTGCGATAATCATGAGGAAGGGTTGCAAGGAGTACCAGAGTATATAGTTGAGTATAATTGCTAGCTTTAAGGTAGGAGTCGGTGGCTTACCAGAATCCCCGCAGACGCAGTGAATACTCTGAGGCTCTACTGTACAACTCCGTTCACAATTTTTACTAATTCTTCACCACCGTAACACTTGTTTCGTTCTATGTCCTGTACATTCCATTGCACTGTGTGTTCAGCCAAGACTCCAAGACGTTTATTCTTTCTAGTTCAAAAAATATCCCTACTGTCCGACTCCTAATTTAACTCAGTTGTCGAATTGTGTAGTAATGTCTTGTCTAAGTGTCTTTATCAACTCTCCGCTTTGAAGCACACTAATTTCTGAATTGCTACGCTTCGAGCGGATCACTTAAGATCAGTGCTAGTTTCTATTGCTGTAAAACAACTCCAATTGAACACCCCATCTTTTCGAGATCGCGCCACTAACCGAGTGGTCACGTGTAACCTCATATTATTGACCTTACAGATCAATTTGTCTTGGAAGTAACAAATATCTACAAACCCCCATCATCTTTGCGAGGACCATTTGTTCAATCTTTCCCATGCATGGCTGCTCAGCAAGTACAACTCAAGTCTTTTCCTCACTTAGGAAGAAACAGTAACGATAATTTCTGCAGCCATTTTTAGTAGTGCCCTTCTATGCGAGCAGCCTCTCGCTGTTCTAAGTTTTTGCAGGATCAAGTAAGCAGTCGCTCCATTACGTCACATCACTGAGTGCCCTGTATGCTGCAGAGATGCTGCAGGGTGCAGATGAACCGACCACAGATGGTCGCCCTAGGGATTCGGCCCGGAGAGAGGATCCGGCAACGGCTTCACCGCCAGAGGTGGATCGATATCACCAGAAATGAACGCTGCAGAGTGACTCGACACTGGGTTTACAAACGAATGAAGTATTTTCAGATAGAACAATTAGCTTAATCAGTTGCACTGGGAAACATATGTAGATAATGCGGTTACTAAAATAACCAGAAAGATAAAAAGCTTTTCACGTGACTTTCCAGATTTCCCATCTCAAAGGTGAGGTATTCAGGGACTCCAAGTTGCCACCAGGGCTCTAGTATGCGGTGCCCGTGTACTCAAAACCAAGCTGAGGATTTCTGGAATCTGGCGCAAGAGCAAGTTAAGCGCTTCTACTCCCCACGATCACCTAAGTAATCAAGGCCATGGATTTTCTGAACTGAAGCAATAGGGAGCATTAAAGTAGGAGAATAGGTGATAGAAAAATGTACGGAAGAAGGAATAATTGATGAGAGGGAGGGAGATTCAGCATGGAATTCATTATAAGATGTGACTTTATTAGTGGGGAGGAAGAAGATGACTATAATTTTAGGAGAATATTAGTTGAAGGCACTAAGGGTGAGCCTAAATGTCATGGGCTCCACACAAAGTTACCCTTCAAAGTCATTTCTCCTAGTTTTAGCTCAAGACAAATTAAAGAGAAAGTTGAACAACATGAGCATATTTTATTGTTAAAGTGAATTATTATCAATTTACTAGTAAATTATTGTTCTATTACTTATAAGTTGTCAATCTCTAATCATTGGTGCCCTTATTGATCAATGTCTCTTTTTCTAAACAATTGTTTTCCATGCATCTTTCTACTTTAAAGCTTTCTAATGTTGGAGCATTGTAGCTCATGTGTAATTAAAATACATACACAGTTGTTGATGTAGTGCATGCTTTAAATGTTAATTGACCATAATAAATAATATAATTACAACCACACAAGACAAAGTTAGTGATACTACTAAAGTTTTTGGTTGCTTAAGGTGTTGATATGAAGCACATTATTTCCAACATTGATGAGGAAATTAGCTTAGACTAGCATCTGTAGCCACAATTGTGTTTCTTCTTGATACTTTAGAATTGTAAAAAATTGTTTTATTTTCAAACTTAAATATTTTATTTTTATATTAATATATTATTAAATTTATATAATATAAAGATAAATTATAATCTTCTTTTGTAATTTATTTATAGCTATGGCATTGTTAAACAAAAAAATTCTAAACAAGTTTTTGAATCTTTTGTTAATATTACTTATATTTCAATTATTTGATTTAATTTTTTAAGAATCAATAATATAAAAATATTAAAATGATCTATTCATTTACTAAATGGATCTATTCTAATATAACTATTATTAGAAAAAATGAATCATCTCAAGAAACTATTATTACAATCATGGCCTTCATCTTTAGTCTCTCTGTTCCTAGCCTTCTTTATTCCAACCTCTCGTGCTCCTCCTATTCTTAACTCTTATCTCAACCTTCCTTTGTCTCTCTTCTATGTTCCTAACTTTCATCCCAACCTCCTTTTATTCCTCCTATTTTCAACTATATGAGTCTTAGTTGAAAGTTCTTCTCAACAATATTCTTCTTCTTTAATTAATGCAATATTGTCTTTTCTGCATCAAATTCCTTGATAAAGCAATGAAACCTGCAATATTCTTCAAACAACTTTGTATTCCAATCTCAAGTTTACAACAATCCAACCCTACATTAAAACAATTAACACTATTGAGGATGAAATTAAGTTTGATTTCCAGAAACATAAAGAATCCTATTAAATTTTTTATGTGGTATATCTAAATGTGGACAATTTTAATCAGAATAAGAAAAATGATAGCAAAGAAAAATGCTTGTTCAACCTATGACAAAATACTCTAAAAGTCTCTTAGACACATAATTTGACTTACATTCTTTTGAACTTTTACACAACTTTATTATTAACATTTGTCACTATTCCAATTGGAGCAAAATTCACACTTCATTTAAAAATTAAGTGACGCCTTTTGTTTCTTTTCTCAATTCCAAACTAGGTGAAGAAGAAATTAAGGTTCAAAATAATAGATCTGTAATTTATCTTGATTTTAAGCATAATAGCAACTACCAAGATGTTACTCTAAAAGTCAATAGTTTTTGAGTATTATTAATAAAAATAAATAAATAAATGTGATGATTCTAAGCAACATGTTGTTCTTGATCTTTGACATTTTTATTATTTAATATCTTATATATTGATCACCATGAGTCTTTTTATTCAATCTAAGTATTTGGCTTCTTAAAATTACAATAGATGATTACCTTTAATCAATGTATTTTGAATTGACCTTTCTTTATACATACAATGGAATCTCATAATATTCTTGATTTTTTATTTATTTTATTTAATTTTGTGTAATTTTAAATTTTATTTTTAGAATATCATTTTATAGAATTGGTGAAGTTGATAGACTTATTGAGAGCACTAGAAAGCAAATAAGCCTTTACTCATTGAAAGAATCTATATTGTCTAGTCACATATTATAACTTTATATTGTTTCAAATTATCCTATTGTTTCTGTGTTAATTCTATTTATGTTCTAATTTCTTTTATAATAATCAAAATACAATGTATATGCAATATTATTCTTTGCAGATTTATTCACAAAATACAAATGTATAGAGCTACAATCAAAACACTGTTTCATTGTATCAATCACATCTGTGGGTCTTTATAGTACTTTCAACTAGAGAAGCTTTTGGAGTATTACTTGAAACAACAAGGCAATATAAAGTGAGTTTTGAAACTTATCCTTATTTTGCTATAATTCTTGATTGAGGCTTATATAGTTGAAAATGGAGGGGGAGATACAAGAGAGAAAGAGAGAAAAAGAAAAAAAAAAGAAAAAAAAATGTGAAATGAGACTTGAGAATAAGTGGGGCACAAGGAGGTTGGAATGAAGAAGGCTAGGAACAAAAGAAGTGGGGGCTGAAAATATTGATGATTTCTATTTTCTAAAATTATTGAGTTTTAACATTAAAAATATATGTCTAATAATGGTTTTGAAATCTAAAGATATTGATATTAATAATTAAATAATCTCAGTAATTAAAATAGCTTTTGAAAAATATGTCTTTATTAAAATATTTATCCAAAGTAAATAATAGATAAAGCATTATATATATTACCTAAAATAAATCTTTGAAAAAAAATTAAGAATCTAAATGTTTTAAAATTAAAAACTTGTATATTTATAGAAATATTTTAAAATTATTTTTCAACTATGATTGTATTGTTAAAACTTATTTTATAAGGTTATTCAAATTTAAAAATATTACCAAAAAGATAATATATTTTACTTTATCAACCAAAGTAAATTTAGAAGAATATTCAAAATAAGAACTAATATCACAATAATAATAAAAAATTATTAACATCATTGCTAAAAGGAATAGGAAATTTCAAATCCTTAATAAATTTAAACATAGGTGGATCTTTAAATTTAACATAATTAGTTAGAGAATTAAAAAAACTAATTCTTTGATAAAACTATATATATACATAACACAATATTAAAATTTAACATTATTGCCAAAAATATTGGATAATTTTATATTTTTGACAAATTTACATAGGTGAGAATGTTCAAATTTGACATTATTGCTAAAAATATTAGACAACCTTATATCTTTGAAAAATTTATATTTAGGTAGATAATTTAGATTAATATCTTTATCTAAGGATTGAGGAATTATGCATCTTTGATCAATTTATATATAGAAAAATATTCAAGTTCTTATTTATATATAGACAAATTTGCTAAACAAGTTAAAAAATAATATATCTATAAAAAAATTTATAGATATATAGATGTTTGAGTTTTTCTTCATTTTTAAAGGAATTAAACAATCTTACATATTTGGCTTCTGTATATATTTTTAAATATTTGAACTCAATATTATTTCTAAATAATCAAATTTATTATAATTGATTTAGGAATTAAAAAAGCTTACACCTTTAATAAAATTAAATATAAATAGAAATATTAGTTTTATATCATTGCTAAAGAAGGTGGATAATAATTCATATTTACTATTTATATAGAATTTGATTATTGAACTTAATATTGTTGCTAAAGAAATTAAATTATTTTACACTGTTAATATTTTTTCAATTTTATAGAGATAGTTAAATTAAGTATTATTTTTTAAAGAGTTAAAAAAACTATATTTTTTGCATATATATATATATATATATATATATATATATATAAATGTAAGTTTAAGTTTAAATAATTTATCAATTTTAAGAAAATTAAATTAAATTTAAAGATAAATGTTTATTTTATTGAAGATTTATGATCTACCTAGCCATATAAA